TCCTGCTGACTTTTGCCTTTGAACTAGGCTTTTATATTCCAGTATCAGTTTGGGCTTAGCTAGTGTTGACCTCGTGATGTCTCAGAGTTGAGGATAACATCTTTAGTGCAGGGCACTGGAGTAGCATCAGCCTTGTGTTCTTGACCTCTGTGTGTGTTGCCAAGATGTTTCTGGTTTATATTCCTTGTCCATGAAATGATGTATAATATACTTTTCTTGTTGCAACTTCAGTTTCCATCTTTACCATCTATTAATTTTCTTTTTTTTTTTTTAATACTTGTAGAAGAGGGCACAGCTGTTTGAGTACCTGATTGTATTTGGATTTTAAAAAGGTGTGATGTTACAACCAAACTGTGAATCAGTGTGTTTTCACCTAGTAAAAAACCTGGAAGTAGGTAGCTTATAGTGGCAATTCCTTGCCAGACGAAGGGCTGTTCAGTGTGGAGAGTAACATGGGATGAGGAAACAAATGCTACTGTGCCACTAAAGGCTATACTACAGTTTATGTAAACACCTTTAAAACTCTCTTTAAAGCATGGAAGAATATCAAGACCCTTTATTATGGTGTTAAACTGCTTCAGAGCTGTACAAGAAATACAAAGAACTACTCCTTAAAGCTTTTGTTTAAATGCACTGGAGTTTTGCCCCCATAATTCATTTTAATAAGCTGCACATGATGCAGTGCAAGAACGCACAAGACCGTGTGGTGGAGTCTCTGAATATAAATGTCAAATTTCGAGTTGAATGGTAAGATGCACTTCCTGCCTCAGATTAGCGATGCTGGGCTCTGATTGTCATCTGTATAGATTTGCGAAGTGTGCCACAGCTATGGGTCAAAGGTGACATAAGGGCACCATTTCACCAAGCAGCTCCTAATGGTGTCAGGAGGTTGCTTTGCTGAACAGATGGCTTTGGAGCGAACAAGAAGCTTCTGTTAGCCTATATCTTAAGCGGCGGGAGGATATTCCAAACGCCAAGTCTGTTCTTGAGGGACTATCATACTACTGGGCAGTTAAACTACCCTGACTTCAGAGACCAGCATAGCAATTCAGGGTTTTAAAAAATATTTTACAAATGCTGAGCCTGTCTTTCCATACTCTGTAGCCTAGCACCAGAAATAAATGGCCATAATAACAACTCGCAGAAAATAGGAATATCTGTCTCCCAGCTGCAGTATCTCACTGTCTTGAGAGCACAGTAGACTATTGTGTGGCTGAAGAAAAGTCCTTTTTAATTTTCTTCCTGCAAAGACTGAAAGTGATCCAGGTACCAAGCATATACCTTGAAAGAATAAAAAAAAGATGAAGAATGAGGAAGAGAGGGCTAATAGGGAGCATCAGATTATTTATTTATATTTCTTTTCCCCCCTCCCCATTTATGCTCAGTTTACGTGCTATGGTCAGCAGAAGAGAGTACATTGTGCCACCTTTCCAGAAGGGTGAGAGGAGATGTCCCCTCCGGGATGGCCAGCAGCAGGCTCGGGGGGAGCAGCTGGCAGACCGCAGCTGAGGGGGGGAGCTGCTCAGGTGGAGAGGCTGCAGAGGGAGGTAGGATGGGTAGCAAGAGGAAGACTACTCTTTATCTGATATTTTGTAGCCTAGGAAAGGCCTCTTTCTTTCAGACGCTGGTCATCTTGGTACACATTCAATTAGATCGATGTACTCAGTGCCAGATTTAGGTGTCTGCAAAAGAGGACTTCGTGTGAATACTCAAAAGCCCTCACGTGACAACAAACTCTACTTTGCCACCTTGCTTTGCTGGTATCTGATGTCTCTGCTTTATTTACTGTGCTACGTCAGCCAGAGGTATACCAAGACCCTGTAGAAGGAAGTGACTTTACTGCTTGATTGCAGATAACATTAACAAGGGGGAAATCAGACTTGCACAGCAATTAATTCACTAATTTCTCATCAGTATAGCTGAGTCAGATGTTGCTTTACCACAGAGAATGGATTTATTTGCTTCCCCCCTTCTTCGCTGACCAATCGCAGCCTGGTTGTAAGATTTGCCGTGAATATGTTGCTATGTATTTAGCCATGAAACTGTAAAGCAATTTTTATTCATTAGAATTTAAATTGCTTTCCTCTGTATGTTACTGTCTTGCTCTATGGCTTGAGTTTAGAAAGCCTTGACTTGGAAACAGACAAACAGATGTCAGCAAACCAGAAATTATGAGATGAATAATAGCTCCCCAAATTATCTGCACTATGCTAACAGGCATCCACGTGCATGCACTCATATAAGTAATCCTCTCAGAGATATATATACACACACACATATATATATACACCACTGAATTCCACAAATAGTGGAACGATCTTCTGAGCTCTCCCTACCTAATGTTGCTTCCTGCCAGTATCGCTTGAATTAAATGCTTGTATGTCAAGGAGTCAGTGCAAGCTGTTCCGAGAAAGTATCCAATGCTACAGGCAGCTCAAGGAACTGGAGGAATTGTAGACTGTTGAATAGATCCAAGGCATAAGTGAATCAAGGTGAGGGAAAAGCTTGGGCTGGGAGCACAAAGACACTTTTCAAGATAGAGGAAAAATCCAAAAGCTGCTGATTTATGATTAATAAACTCTGCTAATGATGTGGTTAAAAGTCTGATGGGTCAAATCTCAAGAAAGAGACTTCTTGTGAGAAAATTAAAGATAATAGAAGAGAAGGAATGACCTTTTTGTGCCATGACTTGGACTTTTCCAATCAAGGAATCAGAAACACGGGTGGGTGTTTTGTCTAAAATTGACCCTTCCTGTGCTGGGCTTTAACTCTTTTTAGACAGATGTTGCAAGTGCAGCTTTTCATGTTTGCATGTTCAGTTCAAATCAGGAAAACTGTGTTTTTGTGAGACCACATTTGTTGAAGAGAAACTGGAGTAGGACAGAAATAAGCAGGAGTCTGAGGTCTGTAGCAGCAAGTGAATGGGCTCCAGATGTTCTGCAAAATCAAACAGGTGTGTTTAATGAAGGTCTTTGATAAGAAAATTATGTTCTCATTCACTATAGCTACCAAAGCTGTAATTAATCAATTGCAGCAAAATACCTGATACGATATAGGAAAGATCTGGTCTTGGAGGAATGGGATAGAACGAATGTTGTTTCATTCACACAGAAAAGAGTCAGTTTTGGCATTCACAGTGAAAAGGAACATTATCAAAGACAGCACTTTCTGCAGTCTTGTGCTAATGTACTTGGTATGTTTTCTCAAAAGCTTATAAAGAAAATATCACCTTAACACCAGTGTCTCACAGCAACCTGGAAAAAAGATAATTATTTATATGCAAGTTCAAGCAATAATTAAATCCTAAATCGCTCTATTTAAAAAATTAAGAAGCTTGTTGAAAGCATGTGTGTTGATATCTTTAGTGGCAAGAAAACATAATGATTCACAATTAGTATTTA